AAATTCAAGGTCCCTGTAGCAAAGAATTCTGTATTTCTGTATTTATTGTTTTTTTACCATGTGGTAAGGTGTAGCTATGATTCTTATGGAATCTAGAAATAAACAATCTATTGGACAGCTAGAAATAATCTATTGGACAAATCTTACTGAGTTATCTCTGCTGACCCTGTGCTTAGTATTTGAGAAGCTCTCTTTAGGACAGAATACAGTATCAGGTAAGCTTTGCCACAAGGCCTGTTCCCTATTTACAGACTTTTCCATGAGTTCACCGTATTCTCATGTATAATCAAGATGTCTACAATCCCCATGGAATCATCCTTTGAACCATTGATCCTCAGACTTCAGTTTAGGGACTACTGCTTGGTAAAAGTTACATTTCCTCAGTCCACAATAAAGTCTTAAAATCATTACTTTTTAAAAGCCCTCCAGGTGATGAAATGCAAACAGACTTGGAAACCACTACTCTAAAGTAAAATATATATTGGAGATTCAGACCTTTCACACAGAAACATTCTCTGATGGAGTGGTATAATTTACTCTGCCATCCAATGCCCCTTGTCTCTGTCTACTGGCCAGTATGAATGAAAATTTTAAAAAGAACTTAGAAATTCCTCATTAAACATACTTTAATTATACTCAATACTTAGAATTTAGTGTAGTTTTTACATCATTCTTCATTATCAGTGGGCTCATTACACCAAGGCCCACAGCACTAAAGATTTGGATGTCATTATTCTGTACTGCTCTCATTCCCCTAAAGACAGACAGCCACAGGTGTTTCCTGAAATGGGGCTTACCTAGAAGCTGAGTTAAAGGTACAACTCTACTTTTAAGTAATTCTAATCTTACTCATTCTTTCAGACACTTATCAAATACCATCTATGGTTCATGCACTCTATAGTCTACACTAGAGATATGAAAATAAGATTTAGTCCTGACCTTGAGGAGTTCTCATACTGCCCTAGAGACACATATTACAACAGAGATATTTGCTCTTGTTGGGCATGGAGAGATGGAGTCAAACCCTCAAAAGGAGTTGGGGGGTTGGGGTGCTGGCAAACAAAACAACACAAATGCATCACATGAGACTCCAGTCACTGCTCTCCTTGTCCAGCAGCCATGCCAGGAATATCTAACATTGGAGCAGGTCACCTGGGCTCATCTAAAGCTTAACTCATTATCCATCCCTCTCACAGAACAAAAAAAACCCTGCTTTTCTGCCTACATTTCTAGATTGGTGACTGGCACCCCTCATTTATACTGCCTCGCCAGCCAGAAACTCAGAAGGCATCCTGGTCATCTTCACTCCTTATAGCCAACCAGTAATCAGGAACTGTCAGTTTTAGCTCTGCAGCCTCTCCTCTGTCCATCCCGTCAAAGCACTGCCAACATTGCTGCCTCCATTCTGGACACTGCAGTAGTCTCCCAGCTGGCCAGTCTCCTCATCTTGAGACTTGTCTCTTTCTCATCCGCTCTCCCCAAAGCAGTTTTAAACGTAGGAGTGACTCTGCTTCCTATAGGAAAAGGTCTGACTTCCTCTGTCTTCTGTATAGGGTAAGAGTGCTAGTGCTTTAGCCAGACTGCTTGGAGTCAAATCCTGGCTCCACCGCTTACTGGCTGTCTAGGGCAAGGCACTTAGCCTCTCAGTGTCTCAGTTTCCTCAACTATGAAATAGGGAAGGAAATGGAATCTCTGTCCTTGGGTTTTTGTAAGGGTTGATTGGGTTAATACTATACATATAAAGTTAACACTGTACATATAAAGTGCTTGACAATGCCTGGCACAAAATGAACCCACAGTGCTGGTGGCGGTCCTGGTGCAGTAACACAGTGTACATGCCCCGTGAGTAAAGACAACCAGGATTCACCTGGCCTTGCAGGGATTAACAGTCCGAAGTGGGGAAAGAAAGACAAGTAGGTAAACAAATTACTTCTTTTGAATGATGCTGTTGTAAATTTGAGCATGATGCTAAATGATTAAGGAGTCAGAATGCTAAAATCTTACTGTCCAAAATGTTCTATTAAAATTTTTATTTTCTGAGACTGCCTGGGTGGCTCGGTTGGATGAGTGTCTGACTCTTGATTTTGGCTTAGGTCATGATACCAGGGTTGTGATATCAAGCCCCCACCTTGGGCTCTGGACTCATCGCAGAGTCTGCTTAAAGTTTTTCTCTCCTCCTCCCCGTGCACACGCTCACTCTCTCTTCTGTCAAATAAATAAATAAATCTTTAAAAAAAATTTTTTTTCTCTTCTGGATTATGTAGTAACTTGAGTTCCCAAAGCAGCTTAGTACCTCCTAAACCACAAGTTCCTCATACATGAAATTTGCATATATATGGTTTTGTTCCTGTATGCCTTTACAGTAACCACAAGCAGTTTGGTTCTGGGATGTGTCAACATATAGTTTCATTCTCTTAGGAATAATTTGGAGAAAGAGAAACTGGGCATTGAACATCCAAAAGGGAGGGGAATGAACCACAGAAGAATATTGGAGAATTTGTAGTGAAACCCTGGGAAAGCAAATGGACAATGACGGAGATAAACTGTACCCAGTGGTTTTTGGAGGAGGTGGGCTACTGAGATTTGTTGGTGGAAGTAGTATTGAGGAGACTGCAGGACACTGGCAGAATACGCAGAAATTCAGTGTGGCTTGTAAATACATATGAATTCAAAATAGCACTGAGTGTGTACATTAAAGAGAAACAGAGATTTGGGGAAATGCCTTTTGGAACTGGGGGCAGAATAGTGTAGTGTTTGAATTTAGTCTTAAATTACTATGTTTATGCCCCTTGATTTAACAGAAAAGTTAAAAAACTCTCAGTAGTCTCATCTGTAAGATGGGGATTATAATAGTACTAACTGGAAAAGGTAGCTATGATTGAGAAAGTGACCTGAAGCCCTTTGCTGGTAATTTACAAATATCAAACACTTAGGAATGTTAGCTCTTGCTATTGGTGATGATTAATACATTGTTTTCTGTAGTCAGGCAAAATGAATTTACACATACATCATGCAAATTTGGGGAGAAGGGTGTAGGATGGTACCTGTTATTTTCTAGATGGCCAGTAATGTTTACTAATGGTACCTTTATTTAGAATATATGTTGTCTTTTGTTGCCCCATTCTAATGAATGTAAAATATAGTTTCATAAGTATATTACCTCTCTTCCCCCATCCTATTTTTAACATGAGGGTTTAAGTTCCTACAGAATTTAACTACAACTGAAGAACTATAGAACTCCAAAACTCCTTGCTTCCATTGTATAATTTAATAAATGTAATGGTAACACATCACTTTTGTTAATAGTGCTTCTTGAAGTGCTTGTATATTTTAAATACTCTCTACTTTGTTATGTGTACCCTATTTTCACCTTTTCTGGTATTAAATAATTTTATGGAACTAAGATAGAAGTTTAATATAGCATACTTTAATATGAGCAGAGTATTATGAGTCATGTATTAGAGGACATGTCCTTTGGGACACCTTCCCACCCCAGCTCAGTTAAGTGACTCTCCTACCCATGCTCCCGCAAACCCTATACATTCTGTCTCTCTCTATCCTTTCAACTTACTTGTACCGTCAAACAAGTTGCAAGCACATTAGCCTTGATAATAAGGATCCTATCATGCAACGTTAAGCAGAAAAGAACAGCACTCAGTAGCTACTCAGCTGATTTTTGTGGAGTGAATCAATGCTTACCCAGTGCTAAGGCCATGATCCTTAGTGCACCAGTGACTGTATCCACGAATTAGGCAATTAAGAAGCCCTTTAGAAATAAAGTAAGATAAAAACAAGAAAATAAAATTAGTACTAAGCTAATTCCAAAGACTTTTCTGTGGAATAACTGTCTTTTTTTTTTTTTCTTTAAGATTTATTTATTTTAGAGAGGGAGAAAGAAAGAGAGAGAGAATGGAGGGGAGGGGCAGAGGGATAGGGAAAGAATCTTAAGCAGACTCTGCACTGAGCGCGGAGCCAGACATGGGACTTGATCTCACGACCCTGAGATCAGGACCTGAGCTGCAACTAAGAGTTGGATGCTTAACCGACTGTGCTACCCAGGCTTCCGGAATAGCTGTCTTTATGAAGAAGATTCTCTGCCCTTCCTCAGATACTAAATGTCTTACCCTAGTTGCCTACTTACTACTCAGTAGCTTGCATAAGGTGACAGGTCCAGCCTTCCTCCTTGGAAGACTGAAGAGGGCTCCTGACACAACTGGCTGTGGTTTGAGGCCTGAATTCAGAACTATAGACCTTACACAGCTCAACTCTTAAAGATACCATAGATGATGTTAGGAAAATGAATAGTATCGGCAGGAAAAATGTTTACCATGTATGTCTAGTAATTGAGCATTCATCTCTTTGTTCACAAGAACTTGAATTATGGTATGTAATTGTGTAACAAGCAAATGGTAGACATAAATCAACATCAAAAATTGCCACCTGGGCCACCCAGCACATGCTGTGTCAACCCAATGTGAGAGCTGTCTTCTTTGCACATGACAAATAATCAGAAACAGGAAAGAGTTTGCAGGTGCAACAGGAAGCAGCTTAAAAGACTGGCCTGGTATCATCTGGAGCCTCAATATATACCATTTATTTCCCATAGTGTGATGACTATCAGCCATAGGTCACAATTGCACCATAGAACCTTAACCCAGCATGTTGCAGCCGTCCCCCGGCAAGTAGTCCCGGAATTGCTGCCATTGGCCAGTGTCCAAGAATGCTTGAACAGCTGCTCTGACAAATGGGTTTCCCCCATTCAAGCCGGCAATGGGAAGTTTGAGCTGCTTTGCAACACTCCCTGCCTCTAGGTTGCAGAATCTATTTAAAATGATAATAAAGTATCCTGCTCTCTGGCACTGTGTATTTTTCATTTTGGAAAGACGTAAATATCTTTAGGATGCAGGAGGTGAGAAATGATCCTAAAGAGTTGATTTCAGCTTTTTCTTTTTCTTTTTTTTTTTTTTTCCACTTTTGCTTTTGCTTTTTCTCTCTCCCAGACAGTAAGGATTGTATCCTGGAGCCGCTTTCCCTGCCAGAAAGTCCAGGTGGCACCACCGCTTTAGAAGGTTCTCCATCTGTCCCTTGTATTTTCTGTGAAGAACATTTTCCTATGGATGAACAAGACAAACTTCTGAAGCACATGATTATTGAACATAAGATGGTCATAGCTGATGTCAAGTTGGTTGCTGATTTCCAAAGGTAAATTTTGTTTTTGTCCATAAAAGAATTAAATTCAATATTCCATAAAGGAAAGGCATAACTTATAGGTAAGCTTATATATAAAATTATTCCTATGCAAATATAAACATTCATATTCTTTTTCAAGCATTGTTGGGAATGGGGATCTTTGGTTGGAACCTGTCAGGCCAAAAGGGTATTGTGCAAAGAACTCTCCATTTAAGTGCTGTGATGAGGTTGAGAACCAGAAAGAAAAAAAAAGTCATTCAACAAGCCAAAGGGGTATAAGTAGACAGCTGTTGAGGTCAGTGCATGAGGTACTGAGAGGAAGAAGATGAAGAGGATGAAGAGCAGATAGATAGAGGTGAGTGGTTGAGGAAATGCCAACCATGGGCATGTGTGAAATGTAGGAACTTCCCTTATATAGCCAGGACCCAAAGTGAGCTGAACTACAATTTAAGAGCACCTGACTTAGAATATCCATACCAACAGACAGGTAATATATATTCATTGTTTTCTAATTCCTAATTCCTAGAACTGATTGTCCAAGAGAAATGCCTTTTCTTAAGCAGATGGAGTGAAGCACTTATGTTCATGTTGTTATTAGTTGACACTTGGAAGCATTTTCCATATACACAATAGCATGGTAATTAACTGGCTTTGTACAGTTACTGAAAGCATATATCTTGGTATATCTGGCCAGGACCCATTTTGAGATACTCTGCCCTGATTTCCCTACAAAACACTGCAGTAGCCCAGGTGTTGTAGTATCTCTGCATCTAAACTCTATGTCTGCCAGGCCACATCATTCCTAGCAAGCAACTTCTTTCTTATGATGGGTCTTGCAAGCTGTATCACTAAGAGTAGACTATGAAACCAGGCAGGCCTAGGGGTGAATGCAGACTTGGTGAATTCCTGACCATGTAACTTCAAACAAACTACTTAAACCACTCTAAGCAGCAGTTTCCTCATCAGTAAAAGGGGATAACACCATCTTGCATAAGATGGTTGAGTGTTATGTAAAACAGGACATGTATAGCACCAGCTAGTGTCTGGGACATTTTTTCTATCCACCACATGGTAGCCAAAAATTTCATTATATTTGGATTACAAAAGATATATATTTGAAATCTTAGTTTTCCACAACTATAGCTTGAGTTCTCTATAGGTATTTATGCTGTCTGAATGCCTAATTATTATTTGTCAAGTATAACTTTTGAGAAAATTGAATTTAGGATCCTGAATACACTAAACTTCGAGAATGAGTTTGTTTTTAAGTTGCCTACAGGAGTAATATTAGCTATTCTCTAACCCTTCTCTCAACTGCCTAGCACTAATACAGAACGTCTGTTGAGTGCTTTCTGTATTATTATGGCCCCTTATATCCACTCACTCAGCATTGCGATTTTTTAGTAAATTTTGGTGTTGCCTGGTCAGTAAGCAGAGATACAACAGTGAAGGAGAATTATATGAATGATATATGCTACCAGCTGGTAGAATAAACCAATTACTACATAATTTCAGAGGAAGCACTTCATACTTCCCCTTCTCATTCCTTAATCTTTATTTTCCGTTAAAATATTTGTGTTTTTATATATATGTATGTGTGTGTATGTGTGTATTTTGGGAGTATTCTCATACATGATTTCTAGTTGTATGTAGTCATGTCTGTTGGATTTGTTTTAGATACTTTTTAGGCTAGAGATATTTTAATTCTTATCAAGTAACCATTAATGGGACTATCAAATGAGCTATTTGATAAGTTGTATCACTCAGCTTTTCTTTGATGTAAATCTATTCTTTTACTTCGCTTTATCATGTAAATGCAAATTCTCCCTCAGGAATTGGAAAAAAATAAGATGATCTGCCAGTGATAATTGAGATTTTTCTTTCTCCTCAAGTCTGTGAGGAATATCTAAATTTGAGTTTGTATTTTCCTTTTGCGCTTACGTATGATAGCTAAGCAGCTATATTTATACTAACCTCTCTTTTGTATCCTTGATATTAATCTCATCTGTATGTGGGCAGGAAAATCAAATTATTTACTAGGTCTCAGACTCAGGAGTCAATAATTAAATGTTGGAATCAGTCACCCTCTAAATGCAGTTATGCTATAAAATGGGTGCTTTAATTAAAAAGCAAAAGCTATATAGCTGATATATATAAGTGCTTTCTATATAATAAAGTGTGTGGTTAACATGTACTTTAAATTTGGAAACCCAAATTTTCCTTGTCAGCCGTCATCTCAGTAAGCTTCACTCTGGTGGTTAGTTCAAATTGACCAAGAATGTATGTGATAAACTCTTGCTTTTAAGTGCTTTTTAATACATCCAGTCTCCTGTAGATAATACCCTCCTACTATTTAGGAAAACTAAAAATTCCTCTCCAAAAGAATACAAACATTGACTCTGAGAGTTAAGTTGGAATCTTCTCAATGTTACAGGACTTTTTCCTAACGTCAGAAAAGTCACAGGGGTGGGTATATGTGTTTGTGTATGTATAGATTTACGTGTGTGTGTGTGTGTGTGTATAACTTCTCAGAGAGGAATTGTTTCTTCTGAGTACAATAAGTAATAAAGATGATAAATAATAGATGAGATAGACTGACTTTGTGCTTTACTGGAAAGAAGCTATAAATTTTCATGTTAAATATATTTAACATTTTCTTTATTGGAAAAAAGTTAACAGTAAAACTTTCTCAGAATAAAACAAAAATAAAAATCTTTCCTTTGAGCCACTTAACGTCATTATTTATACTGAACCATTTGCTAGCTTTATTCAGTAAATAAAATTTTTCCAGAAGATAAATGCTAACTCCTTAATTCTTACCCCTTTCTATATTAAATTCCACTCATTCAGTGCTACTTAATTAACAACCATATCTCAAATCTTTAGGCCGTTGTCAGTAAATACACCAATTACAGTGAGGGGATGGGCGGGCAAGATTACTAGAAGAATTTTTTTGGGAAACAATTCAGTGAAACATGATTGAAATTCTTCCAAAAGAAAAAAGTATTTGCTAATGACCTAATAATTACTCTTATGGCTTTTTAACTAAGTACGAAATGCTTTGATAACTGTCCTCCCAATAAAGAATTCACATCACATATCATTTCTTGGCTGCCTTTAAATATTGAGTGATTACAACTGTAGCTTTAAATACACTAGAGTAGTAAGAAAACATGAAGAGACATACTAAGTGATCCCTTAACATCGACTATCCCCCAGATGGTCTTCAATGGAACGGTAATCAGGGTGAGGAACCTCTCCATGGTTTATTGTAGCAGTATTCATGATGAAACTCCTTATCGAATTTGACTGTCCTGGTGTTTGTTTAAGTCTGTTATTTCAGCACCCAGTTCTGCTGTATGAATTTGATTAGTCATGAAAATAGATGGCTATGTAGTATGGTTTGGAAGAACAATCCATCTTCTATTCCTGGCATCTCTAATAGAGGTTCTCCTGTGTTCCTTCATCCCTGGCACCACTGTGCAATAGAAAATATGCTGAGGGGAGAATAAGGAAAATGGCTGGGAGTGTCATTTTTTTTTTCTTACGTCTTCTCATGCCTTTTATTTCTCCCTTTTTCTCTCTGGGGTTAAGTAGTGGGGAATGGAAAAGAGGAGAATGAGAGTAGCTGTGTAAGATACTGAGGAGTAAACAGTGCTGTCACTGCCCTCTGTGACCAAAGAATAATGTTTCTGCCTTTTGTAGGTACTTTTCTTCTTTTTGTTCCTGTTGTTGGATCCGATATGCACTTGCCTTCTGCATCTGACACTTCTAATATGGAAGCCAACAAGCTAGCCATGGTGTCAGTGGTTATGGTTTGAGGGTGAGCTGGAGCCTCAGATACATCGTTTTTAGATCTCTTAAGATAAGGTCTAGCACTATTCTATAAGGAAAGAGTTCTCCCCTTATTTATCCATCCGGGTCAACAGTGTGGTTGTATATGAGAAGAAAGAACTAAAGCATGGTTTTATTTTCATACGTTATTCTTTTACTTCTTTTCCTTGTCTAAACTCAGTCTTGTCATCTGTTTATATTTTTCTCTGTCACAGTTCTCTCTTTCTCTCAGACCTCTCTCCCAGCACATTTTTTTTTTTCAAATACATGAATGCCCTTTTTGTAGAGCACCATGGGGTTGGGACATTAATGTTAAGAAAAAGGGAAAGAAGAATTAAAAGGAGACAAAATAGTGAGAGTTGAAGGCTACTTAGAGAAACTTACAGGAATCTTTAAATGCTCTTCTACTCTTAAAAACATTTCTTGCTAACCTACTATGTACAAAACATTGCTAGTTGCTATATCAAGCCATTTAAAATGTCCAAATTTTTACTGTCTCTTACTAAATCTATTTCAGTAAGTCCCATCCCTTTCAGGGGTTTTTCTTTTTCTGCTATAAGTTTTTTGGGGTTTTTTGGTTGTTCTGTGTATCAGCCATATAGCCTAATAAATGTCAACCTTTCCATGTCCCTTCTCCCCATGAAGGAGGCTACCTTCTTTTCTTGGTACCATTTATAAATGAGATTGCAATTGCCAATATAAATCTTGTTACATAAACGGGAAAATGAACAGGTTGTTGAATCCTGTCATCTTACTCCTTTCATCAGACAGTGCAGGTCTGGGTGTTATGCTATGCTTTAAAATTTACCCAGGGTGCTGCTTCTAACCCCACTCATTAGATACAAGAATTGTAAGCTTGGCTGTTTTTCCAAAAATCTGCCTCCTTTCAGACACAGTGTGCACATACAAAATTTTTCTGTCTTGTCATGTAGGTATTGAATTTAGACTGATGTCTCATTGCATATTTTTTTGCATTCAGTTCTTTTTATGTGTAAGATAATCACCCAGCTTTCAATTTATTGGAAAATGTGTGATAAAGCCTATTTAATCATTGTTGCATTTTAAATTCATATAAACTTAGATGTGATTTCAGAAAAACTTCATTATCACATAAAAATAATTCATTTTAACTTCCTCATGTGTCTGTTTATTGAATTTAGGGATAGTAAAGTTTAATCATGTCCATGCCTTTGCAGAGTAATTTCATTTCATTAAATATTTATTTCATATTTCTACAATGCTCTACTGCCTTTCCATTTACAAATTTTCTAGCAGTTCTCAGTCAACATTTGATTTATTGTTTTGGGATAATTAAATGGTCTTATAAAACCTTATCACTCTACAGTAAGCAGTATATTGAGTCTTACTGTCCTTTCTTTTTGATTATTCTAAGGTACATTTTATATTGGAGGAAAAGGTTCACTGAACAGCCCATTACAGATTTTTGTAGTGTGATAAGAATCAATTCCACAGCTCCACTTGGTAAGTATACATCTTAGCTACCATATTTTCCCTACAATCCCAAAATTCAAATGAATAATCTTACTTTCTTAAATTAGAATTCTCTCACTTTCATGATAGCTAAAATTAAATTACTCTGTTTATGTTGCCTAACTTCAATAAAGCTAAACAGAACTATATACCAGAGGAGAGATCCTAATGGACATACATATATGTGTTTTTTAAAGGAATAAATCCTTCTGGAAAAAAATGATAAATATCATTTCTTATTTATTTTCCTAATCTCTCAACAGAAGAACAAGACAATTACTTTTTGTTATGTGACGTTTTACCAGAAGATAGACTACTTAGAGAAGAACTTCAGAAACAGAGACTGGTAAGAATGGTTTTAGAGGATGAATAATGTCTTGGAAATATGTGTAAAATCACTTTTGTTATTATTTTTTGTTTGTTCTCAGTTGTTACTCTGTAAACTTTCAAACATACACAAAAGAGACAATATATAAAGATCTTAGAAGATAAGGATACACTTGATTGAAGATTAAAGCGTTTCACGTTAAAAATGTGGTGAGAATTTTTGGCTTTGTTTTACTTCCTGGATTATCTCTAAAATAACAACAGAGCTTACACATTTTAGTATAATTTTAGCTGCCTGGCACATGCTAGGGTTCAGCAGTCGTGGAAAAATGCCCTCAGCTAAAATTGAGTTGAATTGATTAACTTTTTTTCTCTCCTCTTCACTGGAATGTGCTATGCACTAGCACTTCTTTTATTCCCCTTTATGAATTCAGCATATGGTTTGATCATAGTAGCCTTTCTCATTTTCAGCTTTAATCATAAGCAAGCTAATTTGAAAATCTCAGCATTTTTGGTCTTTAAAAAAGGTAACAACATACACAATTGTGAAAATTTCTGTTTTCATGAGTGGAACAGAAACTGGCTCATTTTTTGAAGTTAATAGTTTTGTTTATAAGTATGCAGTTTTCCATTATTTGTGATTTAATCTCAACTATTACTTGAAAATGACTTGCTCCTCTTTTAGTGGTACCTTTAAGTGTTCCTTGTGTCTTTGGATTTGGCTAGATAATGTTATGACAGAGAGCTGTGATTTCATTGTTTTCTGCTAAATTCTCAAGACATCGAAGAAGAAAATAAATTCTATCATAGTCATAGCATTTAAGGAAGTCTCCTGAAGCATATTATATTTTGTAAACACCCCAAATGGTTATTTCTCACATAGGGAGAAAGGATATTGTTGGATGTTGCCTTATATGTCAGAGAAGTTATGCTTTTACTGTGGCAGCAAACCCAGTAAAGAAACAGGACTTCTTAAATCTTTCCTCTTTTCCTATTGTAGTGTCTTAAGTAATCTACAAAACAAGGATGAATTTGCAGTCATTTTATGTGTTTTGTTTTTGTTTGCTTGTACTTACTCATAATTTTTTACTGCTTTGAGTTTTTTCACTGTTGCTCACAGTGGCCTTAATCAAGAATGATCAAACTGACATAATCCTAGCGTCCCCAAGGATTTCTTTATATCAAACGCTACTGCTTCAGCCATTGCTATTACTCTATACATAGAATCTTTACTGTATGTCTGCAGATAGATGCAGTCCCAGAAATACTACATCTCTAAAATTTAGGTGATCTTTTAAGATTCTGACACCACTTGCAGCATGTGTTTTTTTCCCCAAACCACTAAGCGATTCTCCGACACCAGCTGGGTGTCCTACAGTTCAACTCAATTCTGACACTATCTCCCCAGAGATAGTATCAGATTCCACAGATTGAGGGCTCAGTCCCACAGAACTGTCCTCCGCTTCAGATGACAATTGCAAGTCCAAGTTGTTACCTGTGCTTCTGACCCACTGACTATAAATCAGAGGTTTCCATGACCCCCCACCCCCCGCCCACCTTGGATTTCATTAATTTGCCAGAGTAGCTCCCTCTAGGAAACCAGTTTACTCACTACATTACCAGTTTACTACAAAGGCTATCAAAGAATATAAATCAATAGCAGATGAAGAGATACATGCAGGGGATGAGACTCCAAGCAAAGGAGCTTCTGTCCCTGTAGAGTTTGGGGCCCAGCAAGACAGCACATGGACGCATTCTGGTTCATCAGCCTGGAAGCTCTCCAGACCTTGTCCTTTTGGGATTTTTGTGGAGGCTTCATTACTTAGACATGACATTGACCTTTGGTGACTGAACTCAGTCTCCATCCTCTCTCTCCTCCTAGGTGGGGGGGCGGGGGTGGGGGGCTGCTGAAAATTCTAACCCTCTAATCACATGGTTGGCTCCACTGGCAACCATCCCTCACATCCTTAGGTCACTTAGGTGCTTTCCACAAGCCACCTCATTAACATGTCAAAAAACACTTTTTATAGCTCTGAACACTTAGGACTTTAGGAGCTAGTGCAAGGACAAAGACCAAATATGTGTTTCTTATTAAATCACATCACACTTTCTTACTAACTTTATAGTCTGAGGGGGTGATAGATTTGATGAAAGTGAGTATTATGGCAGCGAAACAAAATGTGAAATTGCAGTCAGTTCATATATATGTATATATTCGTTGAATTCCTGCTTAACTAGATAATCATACAAAGGAAAAAATGCAAGGCATGGCTCATGTCATAAAAGAGCATAGAGTCTAGAGAAAAAAGGCAAATATATGTTCTTATCTCAGATATTCATCTTGTGGGGCTTGTGAAGAGATATTGTGAAGTAGATATTGTACGTAATACACTTAGTATCTGCCACATAGAAAGCACTCAATAAAGGTTGCAAATAACAATAATAATATTGTGTATTAACAGTGAAATGGATTTGGGCAATTGGAGAGTTGTGGAAATGGGAGGAAAAATGCATATGGATCTAAGTATTCAAGTTGTCAGGAAAGTTAATTAAATCCAATCTGGCTAAGGTAGAAAGATTTTTGGAAGAGGAGTATGAGATGGATTTAAAGAGGTGAGGTGGAGCTAAGTTGTGGGGAACATTAACCTTGTAGTGATAAAGATCTATTGATGTCTCCTCATTGTCTATGGGACTGAAGTGGAGAAAAGATGATAAATATAGCTGTGTAAAAATCCACTTAAAGTTGACAAACTCTGGCAAAGAGCAGACCGATGTGGAATTACGGAAAGAAGCTAGCAGTTACTGAGTGCCAGCCATATGCCATGCCTTGCCTTAGGTCCTTGCTTTATGTCAACCCTGTGAAGTAGCTATTAAATGCTGTTCTGTTCATGAGGAAACTGTGTCATAGAAAGACTCATTTGTGCAGGACCACATAGTGAACAAGAAGCAAGATGGGGTTTTAAACCAAATGTGCCTGATGTGTGCCTTTTTAAGGAGTGCCATGCCAGTCTAGTAGTAAGTTACTCAGCTTCTCATATGCCTTACTCTTATTCTAGACTCTGGGAATTGCTCTGTTGTGGATGCTCAGGGTCTGACAGGTCTGTATAGGGAAGAGATTCAGGCTAGGATTGGAGTTTAGGGAAAACAGAGGAGATTTACAATAGGCTGCTGCTGAGAATCATGGCTAGAGGATCAACAAGAAAAGATTTGCCAGATAGCAGGAAGACAGGTTGAATTTGCAGTCAGCCATTTCATCACAATTTTATGCTCTAATAGTATGGAAGCATGAAGTTGGTGTGGGTGATGTTCCTTTGCAGTGGTGACAAGTTCTCTCTTTTATATATAATGAACTCTACATTATCAGTAACAGGCATTTCTAGAAAGAAGTCCAAATGATCAAATGGAACAACTTTGAGCAAAAGTAATAGTACACCTTTCATCTTCCATCAAGGACAAGAACTTTTTCAGATACTTTTAAGAATATGAATTGGTGTCCATTCCTGAAAGGTGCTTTGTCATTGTGTATTGGAACTCTTGAAGAGATTTATGCCCTTGGTCCTTATTCTCCCTCCAAGAATTCCTCCTGGGAGAATCATACACCCAAAAGGTTAAGTCACCCACTCTGCCACAGCTTGGTAGTTTTTTCCTTATTTGTTATTGGTTGTATTTTATCAAAGAATTTCTCTTCATTCATCAGAGTTTCAATCTAGCTTCTGGAAAATGTAATTTAAACCAATTAAGTTGCATTATGGTACTGGATATATAATGTAATCTATGTTTAAGTGAACTCAGCTTAAAGTCAATAGGATCTCAACTCAAGTCCATGAGGGAAGGACCCTCAAACTGGAGAACTAGTATGGCATATGCTCTCCTGATGTGCATTCATGGTAACTCATATATGGATTATATTCTTTGGTATTTACTCTTTCATTTGACACTCAGTAAAGCATTTAGTTAAATACTTTTGTATGATTTGAGTTCAGATTGACTTTGTCACTTCTTTGAGGGCAGGAATTATGTCTTATATTTAAATATTCTTCAGTAGTATTCAATATATTGATAAGTTCATGTTGGTATTTTCCCCCAAACTCCCATTTTTTTAAAATTCCTATTTCTGTGTGAGTAACTGGACATATATAAAGTCTAAATGATTCACTTCAGGTTACCATAGTAGATTTAAGTCTAGAACCATATTTCTTCTTCCATTTTCTTCTAGACCTCACTGTTTCCTTGTGACATTTATGAGATTTGTATGTGTTCCCAGTTTTCTTTTTGAAAAGCTTGATTCCTATTTAACACTTCTTTGATTTTTTTTATTTGTACTCGGAAGGGAACTACAGATTAGGAAAGATTCTTGAGAGTTTAATAGCTTGTATACCTTCCTTTCTTTAGCTTTCTTCTTTAAAAAATGTTGCCTTGGGTGCCTGGGTAGATCAGTCAGTTAAGGACCCGACCAGTTTTGGCTTGGGTCATGATCTCAGGGCCTGCATCAGGCTCCACGCTCAGGGATTCTCCCTCTCTCCATCTGTCCCTGCCGCCCCCCCCCCCCCCCGATTTGAAGGAAAGAAAGAAAACCTTTTAAAAAATAAATAAAAATGGGAGTGCCTGGGTGACTCAGTCGGTTAAGCGACTGCCTTTGGCTCAGGTCATGATCCTGGGGTCCTGGGATAGAGCCCTACATTGGGCTCCCTGCTCAGCAGGGTGTCTGCTTCTCCTTCTCCCTCCGCCGCTCCCCCTGCTTGTGTTCTCTCGCTCTCGCGCACTCTCTCTTTCTCAAATAAATAAATAAAATCTTCTAAAAAATAATAATAAATTAAATAAATAAATAAAAATGTTTCCTTGATCTCATCATTCTACCTTAATTTCATCCAGTGGCCCTTTACCCTCTTCTCTTTTCAGTGGGTATATATAAGTTTCTCAAGGTCATTCCCTCATCTAGGCTGTGCACTCTCAGAACTACTGCCGCTACAGATAGCTCAAATATTGGTACTGGTGCAGAGCAGGCAGTCAGAATAAATA